GCCCATGATCAAACCCAAACCAGGAGACTGCCTATAATTGTAACCGAAAGAGGGCCAGTATTTTATTCCAAACATCTTAGGTTACGACTGCATACATCAGTCATTTCAGTTTAGCTGTGAAAAACTGGAATATATGTTGAAAGGGAATATTTAACTCATCGGTAGCCCAAATGCCAAATTTGGACTGAAATATTACAGAACTGTCTTTTTTAATGAAATACTTTTAGCCGGTGAAACTTTCATACCCTTCAGTTTTCTGTCTCCGAAAATAGTGTGTTTTTGACAAAGAGCCCCGTGGTTGCTTGTCTTAAATTGTGCTTCACACTGTTTGGAATCATTTACAGGTCAAAGAATTCATTGATAAAAGTAACCTTTTTGGCGGCAAGACACTTGTTCATGGAAATGCAGGAATGTCAAGAAGGTACTGTGTCATGGGTGACGCCCAGCCATTGGATAAGGCTCTTTTCAGTTTTTGGCACACCATCCAACTTGAATATGATTCCCAGATGAATGACATTTGTACAGGTTCAAGAAATGAGTTCAGGAAACCATGCACAGCCAGTGTATAGGCCCATGCACCGTAAATACATGCATGCTTTTAAAGTTTCAATGCTTATCTAAAGTTGATAATTAATTCCTTGCGTATACATGTAGCGAGCTAGCATTTTGAAGAACAAGCTGTATTGTTTCTTGTGTTTAGTGGTTTCTTGTGGGGGAGGACAGCCCTAGCTCTGTTCAGTGTTCAAATTGGATCTATTAAATGAATGAAATCATATTAGATCTGGCTGCATCCAGCCTTTCATGAACGGCATTTTATGGGTGATGATTTCTTGAGTAGATGTTCAGTCACTCCAAGTCAACCATTTTTCTTCTTTCCCTTGTTTCATTCAATTTATTTAGTGCTGCACTCGTCATAGCTTATGTAATGGAAACGTATGGATTGGCATTCAAGTAAGTTGGTTCTGCTCACTATTGGTGTATTTTATTACAGAGTGGATAGGGCTAAAATTCCAAAGACAGAATCATTTGAGAATGACTGTACTTGATGGCCTTCAGTTGATGCAAATGTGCTCAGACATTTGTTTAATATTGTTTGACTAATGCTATCTATGGGTTTTGCCCTGACACTGATGCATATTAATGAACACTGTATACTCAGTGTTTGTTGGAGAGTTTGTGAAAAATTCACAAGCTTACTCAGGGGGGACTTGAACCCACAACCTCCTGCTTACTGATGCAGATGACAACTGGACCTGCAGGTTTGCCGGGGTGGACTGGCTGGTCTAAGACAGATGTAACAAAATCCATAATTGGAATTAGCCAGTGTTGTAGTCGAGACCACTTTAGACCTTCACAAGACCAACACAAGACCTCCAGTCTGAATTCAATCCACAAGTTATTCAAACGAATTGCAACAAAAACATTCCTTTGTCTTTGTTCATCCTGTTACTTGCAACTGGTCTTGTGTCTGGTCTTGTGTTGGTCTTGACTACAACACTGGAATTAGCATCTCCCTGACACAACATACATCTTGAAATGATTGTTAAACTGCTCACTAAAGCTAGTAGGAGGGAGGTGAATGAATGACACATGCATCATAGACACTTTGTAATTGAATGATCCTGGGGATTGGATGTGGTATGCATGACCTGAACGTGTCTCAGAAAAAAGCTTTTGTTTCTTTCAGTTTTATTAAAATATGAATGCAGTTATACAACATGTAATTTTTTTTTCCAATTAATTTGAAACAGGGAGGCCCTGCGATATGTACAGCAGAGACGGTTTTGCATCAGCCCCAATGAAGGATTCATGAGACAACTTGCAGTAAGTTCCCTTCCCAGAGATGCCCAGACCCACACATCTAAGCTGCCACATGTATTGGCTGAGGCCTCTGACAATATTTTAATTCAGTGACATTATGATAAAACTGTAACTCCTGGAGCCCTACAGGTAACAGCAAAGTCTAAATTGGTCCTTAGCTCTGCTGCAAAGCTGTACTCCTATGAAAAGTACCTTCTTTTGTTGCTGATACCTTAATATCAATGTTGACTACCAAAATATCCAAACAAAAATTGAATCAATTATTGAAATCAAAATGTTGAGCTCACACGAAATGCATGTATCTGTGAAGCATAAGTGACGGAAAACAAAATAGTGGAAAATATGCAATGGTAAAGGTGAAATTTGGCATGTTGAAATTGAAGATCGAAGAAGTAACAAACCAACAAAACGGAAATCGTCACTGTTGCTTATTCCTTTTTTCTTTAGGAATATGAGCCAATTTTCACTGCAAGGTTACAGATGAGATCACAAGAAAGGTCAGCAACATCAGGTTGGTGGCACTGAAAGCAGTGCAAATTCTTATATACTGGGATTTGAGTTGGAAATGTAATTCACTATGCATAGTCATGGATATTAAAAAGTCGGTTTTCTGTTCCCCCATCCCCAAAGTACTTATGAACATTTGAAACATTCATAACTGAAGGACAAAATCTGCCAAAGTCCATTGTCAGGACTGCCTGACGACGGACAGGGCATGCTGTCCAAAATGTTGAGTACATGCACCCCTGCTTGTTTTCAGAACCACACATACTCACAAAAGAGAAATTTTTGCATGGTGCTACTGCAGACCTAATCTGACGACTAAGGTGGCCCCAAGCACATACGCCGGCTGGTACTGTTCTGTTCTATTATTTGTAAATTTTGGGGGCACATATTTGTGAAAGAAAATGGCAAAAATGGGAAAAAAATCTGTGGTGTATGAGAGTTTGTTGTGAAATTTATACAGAACAGTAAGTGTCAAGTGCCCCCCTCAAGGGAAATTAGTCCCTTGTATTTTTTTCCTCTAGCCATGTAATATATAAGATACAATGAAACCTTCCTGACCCCCGAGAGGCGGTTGATGGTCGAGGCAGCGTTTATTTCTCAATGTAATAACTGTCCTGACATTTTGTTTGACAGGTCGAAAAAGGTCGCACGAAGACGTCGACTATGAAATGGATGACAGCTGATCATGTGACCTCATATTTGTAAATAGACTATTTTTGGACTGCTTTGAACTACGCGGATCTTGCCAACCCGGATGTTAGCACTGTATGAGAAAATGGATGGTGAAATGGGCCTTTGGACACTTTGCCGTTGTTCAATCGTGGTACAGTATGTTTGGGGCGTGATTTTTTTAAAGTCCGGAGGCATTTGAGAGATTTAATAATGTCAAATTTTTGTTCACATTACACCTGGCTGTGGCAGACAACCTGTGACAAGGGAACAGATAATTATGTGCTCGGCTAGTCTTAAACAAATGTCTGAGACCAGTACATGTATTCCCATTCGTAAATTCCTTATGGTAAATAGATTTCAAACGAGCTTTGAAATTTATAAATTTCTAACGATTTTGTTCAAGATGGTTCACTTTTTTTCCAAACACCCATGTAGCCATTGTAAGGCACCACAAATGTGTTTGTGATATATGGTATATTTGTGGTAAATGATTTCTGTAGATGGAAATTGGCAGGTGGGGTATGTACCACATGAGGTGGTGCAGAATGCAATATGCCAGTGCAGTGTGTGAATGTAGGACTCGGCTTTCGGTGTTCATAAATACTGGTAAAGTATTTGTTACAACAGCATTCTTCCACAGAGTATATCTTTCCATTATTGCCTACTTTTCTGCTCTCTTATCTTCCTTGCTACTTCTCTGCTCCAAGAGCTGAAAATATTGTACAAAAAAAAGGACTATTGGTGACACAGGTTCCAGGAACTACAGAATATGATTTGCATAAGCAATTTGTCACGGCAACTGATGCTTAACTTGGGAACTAAAACAATTTATAAAACAATGCTTTGGATCAGCTAGGGGAGTCCAGAGACCGGTTCTTTTGAAAAATTGTACCTTTTGGGGATAATTTTCTTTTAACCGTACACAGTTTTATAATAGCAGGTAAAGTCGGGTACAGTTTTAGTTCATTCAAGTGCCAATTGTTTCCATGATATTGCTTCATATTTTTATGAACTTTTTAAAAAATCTTTTTGGCTTGGAGAGTTTCCCAAGTTTCCCCATACTTGTCACAAGCAATTAATCAGTATGCGAGGGTTTGTGGGTAAAAAGCAATGAATTACAGGGAATTGCATTTTTCCCTTTCAAGTCTGCCAGCAACCAGTTACATGTACGTCACCGAGAATATTCCAATTGGGTGTTGCAAGTAGACTTGGCAACCTCTCCCCCATCCCTACCCCCCCCCCTCGAAAAAGAAGGAAAAAGAAATGAACTAACAGGATAAAATCACCGGTTTGCTTGAAAATACCAATTGACCCCTTCCACAGTTGATAATCAGTTTGTTTCTGATGAGTGCTTTCCCCCCCTCCCAAAATGTCACGGTGGCTGCACTGGAAAAGTGCCCCCGCCCAGACAATCCCAGTGACACGCATGCGGGGATGTGAAACTACTACAAAACAGATCTAATGTGCTTACACAGAGTCAAGTTAGACCTAATATCTGATTTTAATCAAGACATTGTAAATATTATTGAAGTACAGCTGAGTTTTCATGTTGTAAATTTTATGCGGATTAGAAGTATTTATTACATTTGTTACAAACTGACATGGTTCGTTCATATATTTTGTTTCAAAATGATGTATTTAGACAATGTTTTTCAAAAGTTGTGATGTGTATCTTATTTATCTTTGCAATGGTTGAAAAATAGAATTTTTGAATGTTATTCGATATTGATTTTTGTAGAAAAACGGTTGGAACAATAGGAATTTCTAAAGAATAACAAGGAGCCTTTTGTACGTTAACAATTGGAAAAGGGTAAGTAATGAAATTCATGCAATTTTCGGTCTTTTTAAGAACCAAACTTTATGAGTTACATTTATTTCCTCCATGTGGATTTTGGCATTTGCTAAATTAACATTTATGGGGAGCTGAGTACATGAGCAAGCCAACACGGCGTGAGCGGTCTTTTTAAAATTCCATGTTAACTCTTGCTCTATGCCACTAGAGCAATTTACTGCAAGTCACTGATACCTGCCAATGCACTGCAGCTGGCGTGCATTGGAGGATTCTTTGCCTTACCAGTGGAGTGATTTTACTGCACAGTCCAATAGAAGAAGTACACTCCAGTGTACTCAAGAGGAATGTGGCATGTGGCTTTGCTTGTCAGTGTAATACATGAGTTGGACCAAGCTGACCTCCAGTTTTCTTTGCAGTTCCTTGAAGTGTACAGAGTTTCTCCATCGAAGTGGTGTGGCCGTTTATAGTGGAGGGCCATGTAATAAACATAGCCACTTTGTTTTTAACAGGAATATTGGAGTGCATTGGAGTGTTTTGGGGATATTTACATTATTGAACGTTGGGATTGGTATTTGATGGATTTGCTAGTATATTCAAAATCTCTTGATTTTTTCCTAAACAGTGTTTTGAATGAAGAAATTGAATACAGATGACACAACTCGCAACAAAGATCAGTGTTTAATACACGAACTGTGCGGTGTGCGACGGTGCATCTAAGGTTTTTCAATGCAGAGGCAAGACCTCTGGGCGGGGGTACTGTCTACGTTTTCCTCTTTGAGGAATGAGGTTATACACATTGAGGACTTTGTGCCCGGGCTTTTTGCACGTTTGGAAGGAAAAATAATAAAAAAATCCAGCTTGTGGTATCGGGGGAGGGGAAATTCAAAAGCGAATGGGGCTGATGAGGGCTTATTTGACGTGGTGTTCGGAGAGAAATATCAAAAGTCTTACTGTCCTGACATCCTAGCTTTTACTTAGTGGTATTATATTCTAAAGGTTTTGGTGGTAATATTTGATGAATAAATATGAAATAAAAAGTTGATAGATAAATATTAATATGAAAATAAAAGTTTGTGTTAAACTGCATGTTACTCAGTTTCAGTTTCCTCAGCAGTCTCGAGCAGGTATCTTGACCAAGACTGAATGTGCCGCCAATCAATAGATTACTACATTTGTGGAATCAACACAGTGAAATCTATTAGACCTTTTTTCCAGTGATGTTGACGGTCATGCTGGGCCTAGGATTTGCTGTGATGGTAATGAGTGCATAGTTGTGAGAGGAAATCTACCTATTCAAGATAAACTGAGTGTTACTTTTTTTCAAGGTTCTGGTTTCGAGGCTTGAATGTCGAGGTTCGAGCTAATGCCTCGATTTGCACCCTACTCTTAGGGTTCATGCCTGGATTTTCACTCTGCACGGCCCGGCGAGTATGCCTCGATTTTCAACCTCCAACTGGAGCGCTGTGGGTCTACCCTGAGACGTTTTTCACCTGACGTCATTCTCCGGGCCTACCCGACATATCTGCTCGATAAGCAGGATGGTTAGCCATGCACGCATGCGTATTTCAATTAGTAAGATGGTGGAGGTTTTAGTCGTAATTGACAATGGCGTAAGGAAATCCACGTGTGGGCAAGTTTCTTTTTACGTATTCAAGTTCTCTGAGGATTTTACCCGATTTGATCCGAGTGATCTGAACGAATGCAACCTATAATATCACGTTTTGGTGACTCACGTGTGCAGTGGGTGGAGTTTACTGGGTTTGTGTTATTCGAGATTCTCTGATCGAGCAGGTGAACTGCACAGATCGTGATAAGGAAGGTGCTGAAGTACAAGCTTGTTCTACCAGAAACTTTTGAGGAAAATATTTGAGTCTCTAATAAAATCTTGAGTCCCTATAACATTCATTTTGGCAAGAGTTTTTCACAACTTGCATGTAAAACCTGGTTTCATTCTCAAAATAACCGTTCGTCTTCTTTCTGCATGCTTTAAATAAATGAATGTGCATTACGTCTCCTTTAAGTGTAAAGTGTCAGTGTAAAGGATTCGTACAATTGTCAGTGTGTTTCAAAAGAAGACATGATGAATGGCTTGTTTCAATCATGAATATTTAACCATTTAAGTAACCACTTCTTAGAATGTTAGTTCTGTTAGCACTTTTTTAAAAATCCATTTCTTGACCAAGGTGTGATCGAGGCAATCCCAAGGGTTAAGCAAATTAATGGCCTATACCAACAAAATCTGCCAACATCCTATACGAACTTCCAAACATTTAAATTTTCTTTGCACGTTTTAGTAACGTACATGTAATCACCTATGAGCAGGGCTTTTGGTAAATTTACAGCCAGAGGACCATTTTGTGGGGAATCAAAATTATTGTAGGCCTAAATCCTCAATATTTTGCTCAAAAGTTTCGATTAGTACAAGTTTGCACTCCTGATTTTTTCTGTTCTTCCTTTACGATCGCTACAGCCCACCTGCCTACACAGAATGCCGAATATCACAGGAACCCAGTAAACTCCACCCACTGCAAATGTGAGTCACTAAAACTTGATATTATAGGTTGCATTTGTTCCAGCTCATTGGGTTCGAATCGGGTAAATTCTTGAATGTACAAAAACAACTGTAGTGAAATGCAATGGTCGATTCCGATGAATCGGGTTGGGATCCACTCCTTCCGATAAAAGAATAAGAACGACGAGTCGAAACATAGGGGACACACAGTTACAGTTCAAAATCACCGGTTTGTTTATTTCAGTAAACCGCCACTGTGACCCCTCGCATTCCAGTCAAGTATGTTGGGTTACATGTGCTTATCGCCCCCAATCATTCGGGCAGTAGTTGGTGCAGCCTCCGCTATAACTCGCTACTGCCAGTGCCAGTTTTGGTTTTACCCTTCGATACTATGTATATATATATCGAGGCACGCAACTAAAACATCCAGTCCCCTTTTTTATGGAAAACTAGCTACGCCTTGTGCGCCACACACTTTTTTGCTATTGGTCGCTCATGACCTGGGGTCACGAAACTTTCTCTCCCAGTTACAGTGTACTATATTTAGCCCAGCCACACCCCTTTGTTCCTAAAAGACTTCACAATAACAAACCTCAAGTGCAGTGCAGTGTATTGTTATGCATCGAAGTTGCTTCCCTACACAAACTTGCCCACGCGTGGATTTCCTTACGCAGTTGTCAATTTCTACTAAAACTCAGTCTGCCATCTTACTAATTGAAATACGCATGCGTGCATGGCTAACAATCTTGCTAATCGAGCAGAGTAGGTCCAGGCCGACTTGGGTAAGTCAAAGACGTCAGGGGTAAAAGAAAGTCTCAGGACAGATCCACAGTGCACCAGTTGGAGGTTGAAAATCGAGGCAATAACTCTAAGTGCAGGGTGAAAATCGAGGCAGTAACCCGACGTGCAGTGGTAATCGAGGCATGAACTCGAAGTTCACTGACAGTTTGGCGATCTCTCTACGAGCAACAAACACAACATGGGCCGCCGTGCAGCGCAAAACAATGGCAATTATGCAAAATCAAAACAAATAAAAAGAAGGTTGCTCGAGAATAACTCTCACCATGTGCACATGTGAGAATACATCACCTTTGATTGTGGAGTTGACGGTCTCTTTTTCCAGCAAGCTGTCATCTTCGGCAGCACTCGTAACACTAACACTAACCCTAATTCCATTGTAGACATTGACAGAAGAGGTCAACATGCAACCTCAAACCAAATAAAAGGAAGGGTCTTCGAGAATAACTCTCACCATCTGCACACGTGAAAATTCATTACCTTTGATTGTGGAGTTGACGGTTTCTTTTTCAAGCAAAGCCGTTATGTTTTGCTGCACTAGTAACCTTAGCCCTAATTCCATTGTAGACATCGACAGTAGAATTCAACATGCAACCGTAAAACAAATAAAAAGAAGGTCTGTCGAGAATAACTCTCAGAATCTGCACACGTGAGAATACATCACCTTTGGTTGTAGAGTTAGCGGTCTCTTTTTCCAGCAAAGCCGTCATCTTCGGCAGCACTTGTGTCACTAACACTAACCCTAACCCTAATTCCATTGTGCATATTGAAAGTAGAACTCAACATGCAACCGTAAAACAAATAAAAAGAAGGTCTGTCGAGAATAACTCTCACCATCTTCACACGTGGGAATACATCATCTTTGATTGTGGAGTTGACGGTCTCTTTTTCCAGCAAAGCCGTCAAGTTCGGCAGCACTCGTAACACTAACACTAACCCTAACCCTAATTCCATTGTAGACATTGAGAGTAGAGCTCAACATGCAAACACAAACCAAATAAAAGGAAGGCTCGTCGAGAATAACTCTCACCATCTGCACACGCGAGAATACATCACCTTTGATTGTGGAGTTGACGGTCTCTTTTTCCAGCAAAGCCGTCATCTTCGGCAGCACTTGTAACACTAACACTAACCCTAACCCTAATTCCATTGTAGACATTCACATAAGAGCTCAACATGCAAACTCAAACCAGATAAAAGGAAGGCTCGTCGAGAATAAATCTCATCATCTGCACAAAAGAAAATCCAATACATTTGATTGTGAAGTGGACAGTCTCTCTTTTTTTTTCCAGCAAAGCTGTCATGTTTTGCTGCACTGGTACCCCTGACCTTAAAACTAACCCTAACCCTGATTCAATTGCAGGCATTTCACAGTAGGGTGTATCGCCCTCACTCAAAACAACTAAAACGACCGTTCGTCGGGAAAAAAATAAAATCTCCACAAGTGGGAATGATACTCCTTTGATTGAGAATTTCACGGTCTCTATTTCCAGCAAAGCCGTCATGTTTTGCTGCACTCTTAACCCTAACCCTAATTCCATTGCAGACATTTCACAGAAGAGCTTGACGTCCTCACTCAAAAACTAAAACGATCGCTCGTCGGGGAAACATAGCGTCTGCCCAAGAGAAAATTCAGTTCCCAGTGGTTGAGACGGAAAATAAAACTAATAGTGGGCCACCAACAGAGTCCAGAGGACTGGGACCCTATACGTAAGAGGTATCAGATCAGACTTAACGCTGTCGACGTTGATACACTGGAAGCGATCGCCCAGGTAGGAGCTAAACCATTCTTGGGCTAGTGAAGTGAAACCAGAGATTTCAAGGCGTTTAATGAATGTAGAATGCCGGACTACATATCGAACGCCGAGGTCATGTCGAGAAGAACCATACTATAGCAAGGAACAGATGATAGAACCAAAGTGGTGCAGCTTACCATCATCCAGTTCTCGCAAGATGTGATCCGTCAGGCTCACAAGAACGGTCTCAAAGCTATGATTTATTCTGTAAGCAGACTGACGACTGTCTAGAACCTGGTTGACTGAGATGTTTGTAAGCTGACCAAGAGCAGCACGCGTACGCTCAAGTTA